CGCCCCTGGGTATGAGTCAGCCTGGGACGCGTCAGCCAGGTTACTCTGGGTCAGGGCTGAAGGCTCCACAGGTCAGTTCCCCGATACCTCCCCCTGCTCTAGAAGCTTGAGAAGTTTCTAGAAGGCAGTGGTCAGGGGTGAGGAGGGGCTGATCTGCATACTTAAGGGATCTTGAGCAATCCCCAAGCAGGAGGCTTAGCATGGGGTCAGGACGATTATGGTAGAGCCTGATCAGGAAGTGGTCAGTGTTGGGTGGAAGATGGAGTGAGAAGTCTGGAGTGTGGAGGCTGGGAGGGGGCCCAGGAGAGGAGCCTACCTGCAGGCAGGAGCTGGAGAGGAGGATCTCTCTACCTTATCATCCCCAGAGAGAGGACTACCTGTGGAGCAGGGAAGGAGCCAGCCCAGCGTAAGGACTGAAGGCAGTCATCAACCCCTCAAGCTCACAGGAGGAGTAACCCCTCTCCCCATGGGCCAGATAAGGGGAGAGGGCATTGTGGTGGCAAACCCAACAATCTCCTCACCTGGGGCTGCTTGGCTAAAGTGGCAGTTTCTGGGTTTCCCTTGCTGGGGGATTCCCTCAGGCAGCTGGGTGAAGAGGAGGATTCATCTGGGGTCACACCAGAAGGGCTGGAGATCTCTTCAAAGAAGATAATATTATTTTTTTGACCACATCTGTACATAGTTGCTAAGGAGCTTGTCCTCAAGTATCTACAGTTCCTTGGGCATCCCATAAACCCCATCCAAGTTCAATACCCCTTAATAAAACCACAAAAACAATCTTAAGGACTGTTTACTGCCGCCAGTGTGCACGTGTGGAAGAAAATGCGTGGTGCCTGGCTGTGCAGGACTATAGGGGGACCCAAAAACTCAGCTGCTTCTAAGGGGGTAGTGCTACATAGGTCTTCAACCACCTAAACTGGAACTAAACCCTCCTATCCTTTTCAGCCAAGGAAACTGCCATCTCAGCCTCTGTTTGATCTGCAACTGTTATTGCTGCTGCACGTGTGATCAGTTATGACATCAGCCGCTTGAGGGTTTGACAGTATGAATGAGAGCACAAGCAAATGTGAGCTGTGGGAGGGGCCCAGCAGGCTCCACCCACCACATAAACTATAGGAGGGGGAGGAGACAAGATCAGGCGCCCTGCACAAGGACAGGGTAGAGCTGTGGGAGGGACAAACAAGGCTCCACCCACTACAGAAAATTACCGGTGGGGGCAGAGTCAAGACCAGTTACCCTGCACAAGGAGAGAAAGCAGAGCTGTGGGAGGGGCCCAGCACTACAGAATGGGGTGGAGACAAGACCAGTCCCCCCTGCTCAAGGAGAGAGAGAGAGTAGAGCTATAGGAGGGGCCCAGAAAGCTCCACCCACTACAGGAAGGGATGGAGACAAGACCAGTTCCCCTTCACAAGGAGAGAGAGAGAGTAGACCTATAGGAGGGGCCCATAAAGCTCCACCCTCTACAGGAGGGGGTGGAGACAAGACCAGTCCCCCTGCACAAGGAGACAGAGAGAATAGAGCTATGGGAGGGCCCCAGAAAGCTCCACCCTCTACAGGAGGGGGGGGGAGGAGACAAGACCAGTCCCCCTGCACAAGGAGAGAGAGAGAGTAGAGCTATAGGAGGGGCTTATAAAGCTCCACCCTCTACAGGAGGGGGTGGAGAAAAGACCAGTCCCCCTTCACAAGGAGAGCGAGAGAGGGTAGAGCTATGGGAGGGGCCCAGAAAGCTCCACCCTCTACAGGAAGGGGTGGAGACAAGACCAGTCCCCCTTCACAAGGAGAGAGAGAGAGAGAAGAGCTATGGGAGGGGCCCATAAAACTCCACCCTCTACAGGAAGGGGTGGAGACAAGGCAAGTCCCCTACCCAAGGAGAGAAAGGGAGGGGCTCAGAAGGCTTCACCTTCTACAGGAGGGGGCGGAGACAAGACCAGTCCCCCTGCACAAGGAGAGAGAGAGTAGAACTATGGGAGGGGCCCAGAAAACTCCACCCTCTACAGGAAGGGGCGGAGACAAGACCAGGCCCCCTGCCCAAGGAGAGAAAGAGCATGGGAAGGGCTCAGAAGGCTTCACCTTCTGCAGGAGGGGGTGGAGACAGGACCAATCCCCCTACCCAAGGAGAGAGAGAGCAAAGCAAGGGAGGGGCTCAAAAGGCTTCACCTTCTACAGGAGGGGCGGAGACAAGACCAGTTCCCCTACCCAAGGAGAGAGCAAAGCAAGGGAGGGGCTCAGAAGGCTTCACCTTCTACAGGAGGGGGCGGAGACAAGACCAGTCCTCCTGCCCAAGCAGAGAGGGCAGCAGTGAGCGGTCTTTATTCCAGGAAGTCTCACCCTGGACGACGGCCCAGATCTGGAGGAATACACGAAGCTCACCGAGATTGGAGGAGAAGACACATGACCGATATTTGCTGATCCCGGAGTTCACCTTTAATATACAGCGTCAGCAATCAGCGCAGAACTTACAGATAAAACAAATCTGATGAAACAGACATTCCCTGGCAGACACGGGACAACTACAAGATTTATTTCCGGACGGATCGGCGTCCTCCTTCACCCAAACAGCCGCTAGAAAAACCCAATTACCGGGCCGGCTCGCTGCGCTTGTTTGTAATCTGTCAGAGAACCGTCAGCCGCGCCGAGAGTTTTGTGAAAACAAGTCTGATATCTGACAAGCGCTCGCTAAAGCAATTAAATAATATTCCTGCCAGGAAGGCCGAGTAATTGTCTGCAAGAAAGGCAGCTCCGCTCATAACCGACGTCTCCGAACATTTCCTTCTCTCTGCACACATCAGCTGAGCTCAACACAAGTAGAATGGACGGGTCTTGTGGCCTGTGCCAGAGGTGCATCTGTCCACGGGGAAGGGGGCCACGGGTGTCTGGCTGAGTTCAGAGATGGGCGAAGCTTCAGTTGCATCACGGGCAGTGGTGTCCCGAGACAGGTGCGGGGGGTGCGGTCTCCACCGGGTGACACCGACCGCACGGGGTGACACCGGACCCGTTCCACGAAAAGGTAAGTGGTAAAGCAAGCCGACGATCCCCGCAGGATGGATCCGATCCAGGGGCAACTGACAACTCATGGGGCCCCCCGGGGCAATAGGGGATCATGGGGCCCCTGTGTCCTTGCCCAAACTCAAAAAAGCCTATGAAAAAGGTACCAGGGGCATCTCCTGGGGCCCCCTACTGACCCCGGGCCCTTGGGCAGTGCCCGAGTTTCCAAATGGTCAGTCCGCCCCTGATATTCCGATCCATCCTGCGGGGATCGTCGGCTTTCTTTACAACTTACCTTTTCTTGGAGCGGGTCCGGTGTCACCCCGTATAGGTTACATGCCGACGATCCTGCGGGGATCGTCCACGGGGAAGGGGGCCACGGGTGTCTGGTGGTGCTGCGCGTTCGGAGATGGGCGAAGCTCCAGTTGCATCACGGGCAGTGGCGTCCCGAGACAGGTGCGGGGGGTGCGGTCCGCACCGGGTGACACCGACCACACGGGGTGACACCGGACCCACTCCACAAAAAGGTAAGTGGTAAAGCAAGCCGACGATCCCCGCAGGATTGATCTCATCCATCCTGCGGGGATCCTCGGCATGCAACCTATACGGGGTGACACCGGACCCGCTCCAAGAAAAGGTAAGTTGTAAAGAAAGCCGATGATCCCCGCAGGATGGATCGGATCTGGGATTGAGCATAATGGATCGGACTCCGATCCATTATGCTGAATCTGCAGATCCCATCCTTTCTGTGGAGATCGTCCGAGGGGTTGTCACCAAATGTTACTGCACTGGGTGACACCAACCCTAGGGAAGCCTCTGATGACGGGATCCATCTTTTTTCCAGGTTCAGATCTGGCTCCTCTGCGCCGTATAATGGAAGGCCAGGACAAGGGGTGGGCAGGAGGGGCAGCTGCCCTGGGCTCAGTAGAACAAGGGGGCGGAGAATGAACACAGGGCGGTACACCGATTCTACAGCATGCATTAGCAGTGGGAGAGGGGGCGCAGTTCTGCATCCCTGCCCTGGGCACTGGGACCTGTCCCAGTACTGGTGTCATAGATGAGCTGGTTGTCACCTAAGGAGGAGGAGGCAGGAGCAAGTCCACAGACCTTCCGCACCGGCCTGCCCTAAGATATAACAATGGCGATCCACCAGAAAAGGCCAGAAAAACAAATGCTGTTCCCTCAATCTGGCAGCTGCAGGTGACGCTTAGGGACTGAAGGAGGTAAAAGACATCATCTGGAATGGCAACAGTTACCTCATGTCTGTGATCACTTCAAGTGTCAGTCCTCATAAACTAGCCAATCCCAACCTTCATACCCAACAGGAACCCGGGAAAGAATGTTCATCTCCTGGGGAACGAAAAAAAAATAATTGGTCAGTGGGAAGAATGTCCCTTACATTGGGGGTCAGTGGGAAGAATGTCTCTTACATTGGGGGTCAGTGGGAAGAATGTCCCTTACATTGGGGTCAGTGGGAAGAATGTCCCTTACATTGGTGATCAGTGGGAAGAATGTCCCTTACATTGAGGGTCAGTGGGAAGAATGTCCCTTACATTGGTGATCAGTGGGAAGAATGTCCATTACATTGGGGGTCAGTGGGAAGAACGTCCCTTACATTGGTGATCAGTGGGAAGAATGTCCCTTACATTGGTGATCAGTGGGAAGAATGTCCCTTACATTGGTGATCAGTGGGAAGAATGTCCCTTACATTGAGGGTCAGTGGGAAGAATGTCCCTTACATTGGGGGTCAGTGGGAAGAATGTCCCTTACATTGGTGGTCAGTGGGAAGAATGTCCCTTACATTGGGGGTCAGTGGGAAGAATGTCCCTTACATTGGTGATCAGTGGGGAGAATGTCCCTTACATTGGTGATCAGTGGGAAGAACGTCCCTTACATTGGTGGTGATCAGTGGGAAGAATGTCCCTTACATTGGTGATCAGTGGGAAGAACGTCCCTTACATTGGGGGTCACTGGGAAGAACGTCCCTTACATTGGGGGTCAGTGGGAAGAACGTCCCTTACATTGGGGGTCAGTGGGAAGAATGTCCCTTACATTGGTGGTCAGTGGGAAGAATGTCCCTTACATTGGGGGTCAGTGGGAAGAATGTCCCTTACATTGGTGGTCAGTGGGAAGAATGTCCCTTACATTGGGGGTCAGTGGGAAGAATGTCCCTTACATTGGGGGGTCAGGGGAAGAACGTCCCTTATATTGGGGGTCAGTGGGAAGAACGTCCCTTACATTGGTGATCAGTGGGAAGAATGCTCCTTACATTGGGGGTCAGTGGGAAGAATGTCCCTTACATTGGGGGTCAGTGAGAAGAATGGCCCTTACATTGGGGATCAGTGGGAGAATGTCCCTTACATTGGGGGGTCAGTGGGAAGAATGTCCTTTACATTGGTGGTCAGTGGGAAGAATGTCCCTTACATTGGGGGTCAGTGGGAAGAATGTCCCTTACATTGGGGGTCAGTTGGAAGAATGTTCCTTACATTGGGGGTCAGTGGGAAGAATGTTCCTTACATTGGGGGTCAGTGGGAAGAACGCTCCTTACATTGGTGATCAGTGGGAAGAACGACCCTTACATTGGGGGTCAGTGGGAAGAATGTCCCTTACATTGGGGGATCAGTGGGAAGAATGTCCCTTACATTGGGGGGTCAGTGTGAAGAATGTCCCTTACATTGGTGGTCAGTGGGAAAAACGTCCCTTACATTGGGGGTCAGTGGGAAGAATGTCCCTTACATTGGGGGTCAGTGGGAAGAATGTCCCTTACATTGGGGGTCAGTGGGAAGAATGTCTCTTACATCGGGGGTCAGTGGGAAGAATGCTCCTTACATTGGAGGTCAGTGGGAAGAATGCTCCTTACATCGGGGGTCAGTGGGAAGAATGTCCCTTACATTGGGGGTCAGTGGGAAGAATGTCTCTTACATTGGGGGTCAGTGGGAAGAACATCCCTTACATTGGGGGTCAGTGGGAAGAATGTCCCTTACATTGGTGGTCAGTGGGAAGAATGTCCCTTACATTGGGGGTCAGTGGGAAGAATGTCCCTTACATTGGGGGTCAGTGGGAAGAATGTCCCTTACATTGGGGGTCAGTGGGAAGAATGTCCCTTACATTGGGGGTCAGTGGGAAGAATGTCCCTTACATTGGTCGTCAGTGAGAAGAATGTCCCTTACATTGGGGATCAGTGGGAAGAATGTCCCTTACATTGGTGATCAGTGGGAAGAATGTCCCTTACATTGGTGGTCAGTGGGAAGAATGTCCCTTACATTGGGGGTCAGTGGGAAGAATGTCCCTTACATTGGTCGTCAGTGAGAAGAATGTCCCTTACATTGGGGATCAGTGGGAAGAATGTCCCTTACATTGAGGGTCAGTGGGAAGAATGTCCCTTACATTGGTGATCAGTGGGAAGAATGTCCATTACATTGGGGGTCAGTGGGAAGAACGTCCCTTACATTGGTGATCAGTGGGAAGAATGTCCCTTACATTGAGGGTCAGTGGGAAGAATGTCCCTTACATTGGGGGTCAGTGGGAAGAATGTCCCTTACATTGGTGGTCAGTGGGAAGAATGTCCCTTACATTGGGGGTCAGTGGGAAGAATGTTCCTTACATTGGTGGTCAGTGGGAAGAACATCCCTTACATTGGGGGTCAGTGGGAAGAATGTCCCTTACATTGGGGGTCAGTGGGAAGAATGTCCCTTACATTGGGGGTCAGTGGGAAGAATGTCCCTTACATTGGGGGTCAGTGATGGGCTTGATGTTCGAGTTGTACAAGCGTTCGTATGTTCGGTGAACACATGGACGGTAAAGGGCGTTCAGCAGGCTGCTTGCCCGCCACGCCCCACAATGCACTGCGCTCTGAGAGTACATTGTGATTGGCCAAAGCAATGATTTGGCCAATCATAGCACAATTGAATGGACATAGCAGTGACATCACCATTAGCTGCACCCAATTGATTGCATCTGATTGGCAAATGTCAGATTGCGGCATGTGCTTGGCGGATGCAGACGGGCATCAGGGTTATTATTATTTATTTTGGTGCAGTGAAATCAGAGGAAGCCATTTCATTTCCAGAGAGGAGCCGGTACACCTGTGCAAGACTGAAGGGGAGGAGCCGGTACACCTGAGCAAGACTGAAGGGGAGGAGCCGGTACACCTGTGCAGGACTGAAGGGGAGGAGCCACTACACCTGTGCCAGACTGAAGGGGAGGGTCCGGTACACCTGTGCAAGACTGAAGGGGAGGGTCCGGTACACCTGTGCAAGACTGAAGGGGGGGAGCCGGTACACCTGTGCAAGACTGAAGGGGAGGAGCCAGTACACCTGTGCAAGACTGAAGGGGAGGAGCTGGTACACCTGGGCAAGACTGAAGGGGAGGAGCCGGTACACCTGTGCCAGACTGAAGGGGAGGAGCTGGTACACCTGTGCAAGACTGAAGGGGAGGAGCTGGTACACCTGTGCCAGACTGAAGGGGAGGAGCCGCTAAATCTGTGCAAGTCTGAAGGGGAGGAGCTGCTACACCTGTACAAGACTCAATGGGAGGAGCTGGTACACCTGTGCAAGACTGAAGGGGGGGAGCAGGTACACCTGTGCAAGACTGATGGGGAGGAGCCGATACACCTGTGCAGGACTGAATGGGAGGAGCCACTACACCTGTGCCAGACTGAAGGGGAGGGTCCGGTACACCTGTGCAAGACTGAAGGGGAGGAGCCAGTACACCTGTGCCAGACTGAAGGGGAGGAGCTGGTACACCTGTGCTAGACTAAAGGGGAGGAGCCGCTATACCTGTGCCAGACTGAAGGGGAGGGTCCGGTACACCTGTGCAAGACTGGAGGGGGGGCCGGACGGCAGAATGTCTTATTACATACACACAGTATATATCTAGATTAAATTAGGGGGGGAATATCTGAGTGGAGAGCCCCTTTAATGTCACATGACATCAGCTGAGGATGTGCAGAGCGCCATCCACGTGTGGTTAGAGGAATTAGTGAAGGAATGCCATTTCCAAGCTGTTTATGTTGATGTTCATAGACGGGGTCCCCCCCCCCCCCCCATCACACGAATTAATGGCATGGATAATAAGCAGAGGCAGGATTAATTGGGCGTGAAGGAAGCGGCTGGGAAGTGTCAGGACGGGACGGATAACCCATTTCCCCGGATAATGGCGGGCTGGTTATGTTATTAATACGCAGATCATTCGATTATCTCTCTCATTTAAGGCAGCAGATGCCGCCGGCCTCTAGAATGGTTTTCTGGGAAGACAAAGCTTCCTTTAATGAACTCCGACTGATGGAGAGTCTGTGCCACAGATCATCGACTTTTCATGTTCTCGGAGCTGGGGACTGGCAGGCCATGCTGGGATATGTAGTTCCTCTACATCTGAAGATTGTATAGAGCCCATACTTAAAGAAGAATTTCAGGAATGGCAGTTTTACAGTTGCATTGGATAATCCGATCCCACTAACGATTAGAGAATCATACATTCCTACATACAGGGGGACCGAGGCAGGGGGGGCTACATTCCTACATACAGGGGGACCAAGACAGGGGGGGCTACATTCCTACATACAGGGGGACCAAGACAGGGGGGGCTACATTCCTACATACAGAGGGACCAAGGCAGGGGGGGCTACATTCCTACATACAGAGGGACCAAGGCAGGGGGGCTACATTCCTACATACAGGGGGACCGAGGCAGGGGGGCTACATTCCTACATACAGGGGGACCGAGGCAGGGGGGGCTACATTCCTACATACAGGGGGACCAAGACAGGGGGGGCTACATTCCTACATACAGGGGGACCAAGGCAGGGGGGCTACATTCCTACATACAGGGGGACCAAGGCAGGGGGGGCTACATTCCTACATACAGGGGGACCAAGGCAGGGGGGGCTACATTCCTACATACAGGGGGACCAAGGCAGGGGGGCCACATTCCTACATACAGAGGGACCAAGGCAGGGGGGCTACATTCCTACATACAGAGGGACCAAGGCAGGGGGGGCTACATTCCTACATACAGGGGACCAAGGCAGGGGGGGCTACCTTTCTAATACTGTGGGACCAAGGCAGGGGGGGGCTACATTCCTACATACTGTGGGACCAAGACAGGGGGGCTACATTCCTAGATACAGAGGGACCAAGGCAGGGTGGCTACATTTCTACATACAGGGGGACAAAGGCAGGGGGGCTACATCTCTACATACAGGGGGACCAATGCAGGGGGGCGCTACATTCCTACACACAATGGGACCAAGGCGGGGGGAGGGCTACATTCCTACATACAGGGGGACAAAGGCGGGGGGGCTTCATTCCTACATACAATTGGACCAAGGCGGGGGGCTACATTCCTACATACAGGGGGACCAAGGCAGGGTGTCGACATTCCTACATACAGGGGGACCAAGGCGGGGGGGCTACATTCCTACATACAGGGGGACCAAGGCAGGGGGGCTACATTTCTACATACAGGGGGACCAAGGCAGGGGGGCTCTACATTCCTACATACAATGGGACCAAGGCAGGGGGGGCTACATTCCTACATACAGGGGGACCAAGGCAGGGGGGGGCTACATTCCTACATACAATTGGACCAAGGCGGGGGGCTACATTCCTACATACAGGGGGACCAAGGCAGGGTGTCTACATTCCTACATACAGTGGGACCAAGGCAGGGGGGGGCTACATTCCCACATACAGGGGGACCAAGGCAGGGTGGGGCTACATTCCTACATACAGGGGGACCAAGGTGGGGGGGCTACATTCCTACATACAGGGGGACCAAGGCAGGGGGGGGCTACATTCCTACATACAGGGGGACCAAGGCAGGGTGGCGGGTGGCTACGTTCCTACAGTGAAGGAAATGCGTATTTTCTCCCCTGCTGATGCTGAATGTTCGCCCCTCACACAGAAATGATCGGTCTAACAATGGAATGTTCGCCCCTCACACAGAAACGATCGGTCTAACAATGGAATGTTCGCCCCTCACACAGAAACGATCGGTCTAACAATGGAATGTTCGGTGTAACACTGAGAGACAGAATACAACAACAAATTCAGCAGAAATGTGTCTAACAAATGATGACGGATCTGCATGTTCATGATGGAAAGAAGGATTTGATCCCCTATCATTCAGCAGGATTTCTGGCTCCCAGGTGTCTCTCATACAGGTAACAAGCTGAGATTAGAAGCAGTCTCTTAAAGGGAGTGCTGCTAAATCTCATTGTGTTACCTGTATAAAAGACACCTGTCCACAGGAGCCATCAAACCATCAGATTCCAAACTCTCCACCATGGCAAAGACCAAAGAGCTGTCCAAGGATGTCAGGGACAAGATGGTAGACCTACACAAGGCTGGACTGGGCTACCAAACTATGGCCAAGCAGCTTGGTGAGAAGGTGACAACAGTTGGTGCAATCATTCACAAATGGAAGAAACACAAAACAAGTGTCAGTCTCCCCTAGGTCTGGTGCACCATGCAAGATCTCACCTCGTGGGGTGTCAATGATCATGAGAACAGTGAGGAATCATCCCAGAACTACACGTGAGGATCTTGTCAATGATCTCCAGGCAGCTGGGACCACAGTCACCAAGAAAACAATTGGTAACACACTACGCCGACAAGGACTGAAATCCTGCAGTGCCCGCACGGTCCCTCTGCTCAAGAAAGCACATGTCCAGGCCCGTCTGAAGTCTGCCACTGAACATCTGAAAGAGGAGGACTGGTGGGAAGTGTTGTGGTCAGAGGAGACCAAAAATCCAGCTCTTGGCATCAACTCAACTCGCCGGTTTTTTGGAGGAGGAGGAATGCTGCCTATGACCCCAAGAAACACCATCCCAACTGTGAAACATTGGTGGTGGAAATATTCTGCCTTGGGGGGGGGGGGGTCTGCTAAGATACAGTTTTTGTAGATGCTGACTTTTATTAATTTACAGTGAGAGTGGAGCTCCGCTTTAAAGAGCTGAATTCGTTTCTGGTGAAACTAATTGGGACTTTTCTGTATTAGCAGGGATAAAACATGGGAAACCTGTGCAGATATTACATATATATATGTTCAAAATCTGACAGATCTGCCAAAAAAAACTGTCTTTTATGTAAGGACCGTGATGATATGAAGCCATTTTATTATCACATTGTTGTTTGGCTCCTTTTTTAAATCCTAATGAGAACAGAAATCCCCCAAATGGCCCGGATCAGAAGTCTCCACCCGACCCCTGGATCAGAAAGTCTCCCACCCCCTGGATCAGAAGTCTCCACCCCCTGAATCAAAGTCTCCATCCCCTGGAATGGTCGTCCTTGGTACAGACACACAAGGGGACACGCACAGGGTACAATGGAAATTAAAAGGTTACTTCCCCATCTGTGGCTTTTTAAATTGCAATTAGTGTCAGTGTATAAATAGTCAATGATTTTGTCAATCTCTCACGTGGAGGCACTGAGCAGCGCTAGATACTGAGAGCCATGGGGAGCAGAAAAGAACTGTCAAAAGACCTGTAGTAACAAGGTGATTGAACTTTATA